CTGAGCACTCTAACTGGTTCAGAGATGGACACATAACCCATCAAAACCAATGAGACATTCGCGGAAACTTCTGGGATATAAACCTGTGATGTTTCTCATTAGACTAGAACTTGAAATAATGAAGCCTAAAACTCCACAGCTGTTTTAATCCCATAAAGGGAGACTTGTCTGAGATGGAGTCTCCAAAGAGAAGGTAGAGCCGAGAGGCCCAGAGAGAGAAAATACAGCCAGATGACATCATTTCTGAGCCTGTCTCCAGCCATGCTTAAAAACAGTCCCCGCTGGACCTTTTAGTGCAAGGTTCATTAAACTTTCTTTTTCCATTTTGGGTTGACTTTTCTATCACCAGATACCAAAAATATTTTAATGGATTCAGAGCATAAATCAATATAGCTTTTGGTAGGCAACTTATCAGTGTCTATTAAAAATTTGTTCATGTGCATAACTCTTGTCCTAGTGAGTCTACTTCCAGAAATGTACTCTTTAGAAGTGTTCTCAGGAGTATAGAAATATATATATTCAATCTTGAAGTTCATTGCAGTATTATTTGTCACAGCAAAGAGTTGGAAACAACCTAGTGTTGTTCGATATAAACCTACCTCATTTTTTACTCATTTATGATGTTAATGAAGAGGAAAACACAACCCTGATCTTAAAATCAAAGACTCTTAGAGCTAGAAGGCACCTTAGGTCAGATATGCAACATTTATCTCCTGATAGATGCAGAATCTGAATACCACAAAGGTGATGTGACTTGGCTGATTCACCCAGCTAATTCTTCAGAGCCAAGACAAGATCCCTTATCTTCTGGCACCCTTTCCTCCTCTCTATCATGCTGGGTCTGAAATTTCCATTGCACTAGTCATTGTTAGACAATGGCTGGAATCTGGCATTTCACTGGAAAATCAATAACCCCAGTACAAAAGTTAAATCAACATTACACTCAGTGTCAATGATAACAAATTACACAGCTTCAAGCTAACTGTAATGTAAGAAACATTCAAACCCGGAGAGAATTTTTGTGAATCTATCTGAGCCAAACTGATGGCAATTGCAAGGAAATAAAATCTGGAGCATTGGGGAAATGCTCCAGAGAATGGCAGTTTTACAGCTTATTTTATGCATGAGAGTCAAAGGCAGAGACAGAGGGGAGTTACATGAAATTCACTGGTGGTAGATTAGGGAGGCAGGAAAAAGCAAAGCAGGGTAATGTCTGAGATTGGATAAAGATCAAAACAGAGAGACATATGCTTCTTTTGATTGGTGGGCACAGGATAGTTAACAACTAACATTTACAGCACCTACAGATGGTGTGTGGAGAATGAGACAACAATGAAAAGTCCTTTGGTCTTGTGTCTGGTGCTAGGTTGCACCCTGAGGAATCTGGAAAAGGAGATTACTCTGACATTTCAAAGGTTTGCTATCTTAGATGCAAAAAGACAAACCCAGGCTTCCTTAAGATAAAGATTGACCTTTGTCAAGGAAGCTACAGGCCTAGGATATGACTACCCACAGTGATCTGCTTTCGGTTAGGAATGTTCAGACCATCCTACGTGGTAACTTTCTGCCTCTGAGTTTGTAAGGCCCATCATGCAGACTTCCCCTGAGCTTGTCAGGTTGAGTATGTGGCCCCTTTTCCATCCACATGACAAAAATAGCTTTTTCCCTACAGACAACTTATTCTTTTCCTCTCCTCCCCTTCCCATGCCCCCCAAAACTCACACTTGTCCTCGATACTCCAACACAAATGGCAGTTCGGGAAACTTCAGTGGCTAAATCCAGTCCCAGCAAAGCTCTCTCTCTGCCACAGTGACAAAGCAGTTGAAAATGCTGTGCATTCAAGTCACAGGAGAGACCATTTCTGCCTGAGATTCTCCAATAACAAATGAGTGATGGTTCTTTGCCTGAAAATACATACTGACTGTTGGCTGTGAATTTCACCATGGATAACGCAGAAGTCACCATCCTTCAAGTGTGTGTAAATTGAAGTTGCTGTTGCCTACTCTTTGCAGGATGATTTGTAGCAAAAGACCAGACAAGGCAGGAGAAATTTCCACATCCAGGTCAGGCTGGGTGTTCTCCAGGCAGTTTTCCATCCCGGATTATTGGATCTTCGCTTCGAAGGTACCAGTGTATGGCATGCAAAAGGCAGATTGATTGCCTTCGTTTGACTAAGATGAAGACACTTTCATATTCTTTAATCTTTTTTGGAACTGAATTCCTCACAAGTCACCCCATAATTCCAGGCCCAGCCACCATTTAACAATTTCTACCTCCAATGGCCTGACCTACTGTGGGCTGTCCACACCTGACGCTGGTTGGTGACTGGGACCAAACGGAAACCAGCATCTGCACAGTGCCACCGTCTCACCCCAAGCCAGACCAGACTTCCCCCTTGCTGCTCAGATGCAGCAACAGTGGTTTGTTTTTATCACTTTCTGATATTTAAAAGCATTCGGCATGACTGGCTAAGTTGGTGGCAGGACACTCTTACGTCCTGCAGGGGTGGTTGTTTGGTCATTGGTGGTCAACGGAGGAACAAAGTGTCTGTCTGGGCATCAGCCTTGTGCTGCTCACTACCTCTCGCATGTTCTGCTCATAATCCCAGAGTCTGGCAAACTCAGAGATTCTACGTACAAAGTTTATCACAGGATAAGAATCACAGAACTCAGGAGTTCCCAAAAGTTTCCCCTAAGCCCAAAATTTTCCCTCCATGACCTATTTATTATACCTAAAATGTCCCCATGACAAATTTGTTGCATTAGAGTTCAGGATCTCTAACTGGCCCTTAGAAAAAACTTGAATACCACTGAGAGGGCTAAATATGATCTCCACCTCTGCAGAGAGGTCTTCTAAGTTGACAGACACTGACTGCGGGGCTTCATGGGAATATGAAACACCCCCGTCAAGGAGAGACATGAGGAGGAAGAAGAGAGTCGGGGGAAGAAAATGCAGGAAGACAACACAGACACCTACTTTCCAATTTAGCCCAGGATCAGTTCGAGTAAAACTCTAAGCCAGTTTGGAAGAGAAACTAGTTCCAGCGAAATGTCCTATAGATAGAAGGACAAAATTGCACAAGCAATTCCCGGAACCTCAGTAAGTCCCAGAAGAGCCTTTTCATGCCTTTCCAACTCTGTAACTCACTTCCCTGGTTGTTCCCAGATGACTAATGAGGAAAACACGACCACCCAGGAGACACACTCCCAGCAGGGAGGATTTGAAGAGAACCATGCCATTCAATAGAATTGAGTGTCATTAAATAGGTTTTTAATGCTTTATATAATCAGCAAGACAAATTAGTTGACTTCACCTTTTTTAAAGTATAAAATATTACAGTTATAGCAGCACGAGAAATTTCCTTAGATATTCCGATACTTTATCATTGTTGTCAGCTCTTGCTTTGTCTAACTGATGACTTAATCATCTTCCTCCTTCCCCCAAGTACGAGCAGAGGCAGTTCCTCCCCACACCCCCGGCTGGTACTTAGACTGTGCAGGTAACCATGGCCTCGTCATCACTTCTTTTCAGGAAGGTCTCTACTGACTGAAATCGTTCCGCTCTAAATGGATCCTATAATTGCCCAGAGCCCCAGATTCACTTTCTGTTCTTGTTCTGGCTTGTTTTAGGTGACCATTATAATTACAGGTAGAGGGGGTACTGAACATGTAGGTGCCCCCGTCCCACCCGCTGTATGTATATCAGTGCACCTCTTGTGTTTAGGACAAACTCACATGAGATTATCCAATGCAACCTTCATCACAGCACCTGCTGGCCTCTGAGAAAACCTGCCTGGGGACGAATCCTCCGAAGTCTCTACTCTCAATCTTTAAATGTACTCATCTCATCATCCATCATCCCTCCTTCAAACACACCTTAGGATAAATGCTATACCAACTCTGTTAGGAGAAAAACACCTCCACTTTCTCTTCATCTTGTCCATTTTCCTTCTGCTGAATCTTGAAATAGTAACTTTCTACCCTCAGCCATCACTTCATTATACACACTCCCTTTCCTCCACCCTCTTACTCCTGTTCTCTAAATTTGGACCTAAGCCCTGACCAGCATGGCTCAGTGGGTTGGGCATCATCCCACAAACCAGAAGGTCACTGGTGCCATCCCAGTCAGGGCACATGCCTGGGCTGCGGGCCAGGCCCCCCACTGGGGGCCTGTGAGAAACAACTAATTGATGTTTCTTTCACACATGGGTTAGTCTCTCCCTTTCTCCCTCCCTTCCCCTCGCTCTAAAAACAAGTAAACAAAAAATTTTTAAATATGTACCTGACTCCTTCAATTAAAAAACATCACAATCTTCTCTCCACATAAAAAGTGAAAGACTAGTTCAATGACTAAGCTTTCTGTCCTTTAAGCCATATATCTAAAGAGCAGGCCACACTGAGGACCTTCCAAAAACTGCGGTTCTCCTTCCCCAAATTGGGTGATTTGCTCCTCAGCCTTCCAAACAACTCCGGGTGATGGAGCACAGTGGGAAGGGCACAGATAAATAATTAGGGTCAGGCAGATCTTGGTGTCCTTCCCAGACACCCCCCTCGCCACTTACCATCATGTCTGTATAACAGTGTGGGCTGTTGACAGTTTGGCGGGACTGGGCATAGAGAATCAATGCCAGGTTTTCCCTCTCCCAGCATCGAGGGCGGGAACCATGGCCTCAGTGACCTTTGCATCTATCTCCAGTCCCAAGAGACACACCTGGCAATGGGAGCTGTTCAATACCTATCTGTTGAACTAACATGCAACAGAGACAACTGAAGATGATATTACAGGTAATATCAGATGCTATGGAGCTACGGGAGGGAAAACAAATACAGGTTTTCAGCCAAAAAAAATCCCTGCAAGTCAAGAGCAGCTGTTGAGAAATGGACAAGAGGAGAATGGGTAAGGCAGGAGGTGCCTTCATCACCACAGAAAAAAGAAGGTAAGAAACTAAAGATTGCCAGGACAAACATTTGGTTCTCTACTCCTTTCTTAAAAAAATAATAATACTTACCTGGCAGGGGGAAATACTATGATCACGATAATGGTTTTCCCAGGGCGAGGCTTAACCATCACCCTCTGGATGTGCTGACCCCTGAGATTTCCCCAAATGTGGAAGACTTGAGCGCATAATTTGTGGTTGTGGGGGACTGCATTCACCATCTCCCCTAAAAAAAAAAAGCCTTGGCTGGTGTGGCTCAGTGGATTGAGCACCCGCCTGTGAACCAAAGGGTCACTGGTTCTATTCCCAGTCAAGGCACATGACTGGGTTGCAGGCCAGGTGCCCAGTAGGGTGTGTGTGAGAGGCAACTACACACTGATGTTTCTCTCCCTCTTTTTCTCCCTCCCTTCCCCTCTCTCTAAAAATGAATAATGATAATATAAATTTCTATTAAAAATTTTGAAGAATTCTACAATATTTCTATGGTCATTTTCAGTCATAAAATATTTTTTACATCAATCCTCCCTTTTGTCAACAAACAGCAAGAATTTAAAACTTACTTGGGTGCAGGGACAAGAGGAGGAAGGAACTTGAAGGAGGATTAATCATCTAAAAGACATCAAGGAAACATTTTGGCATAGAACTCCAGAAACCAAAAGGTCCAAGTTGAAGAAAGATGTAAGCTTCTCTAGGGAAGGTTCCTTTCAACTGTTTTGAAAAGGTGAGCTTGAATGAGGCTCTGCCCTTATTTTAGCCTTGGATGTTTCGAAATCATGTAGCATTTTATAGTCCAAAATTTTTGCCATTTATTTGTTTTGGTGAAAGTGTATGAAGGGTTACAGAAGGGAATCCATATTTTATTTGGAACTAGAAGCCCCACGTAATCATTTAAGCTAAAGGTGAGTGGTCAACCATTTTCTATGTGGAAGAGGATTCTCTATCACAGGAGGAAAAGGTGTTAGTGTTTCAAGTCCTCAGAGATTGCTCCTAACGCCCTGGTCACAAGGTCCAACAGCTGGAAGGCCTTTATCAGGAAGAAGCACAGTGGAGACAGCCAGTGATGACACCAGGGTCCTGTTATCAAGAGAAGCCAGTGGATAGTAAGTTTCTACCTCGACATATTTTCTGATGGACTTGCTCTCCTTGGAGGAATAAAAGATAATAAACGTGAAATACTATCTTTACCATGTTTTCAAAACCTAATCGATTCTGAAGATGGGATTATGAATTTTTTATATTCTCTTCTTTGTTCTTTCTCTTTGTAACCCAAAGAAAACTGGATATTTCATAGTCAGTCTCATCACAGTTTTGTATGCAAAAGAATCCAAAAGAAGACATTGAAAAGCAATTTAAACCTGTATAGGAATATTTAGAAGAAAATGGGGAAGGGGTGTTAGATGGAATGAAATCTGGAGAGACTTCCTTCCTTCAATGTGTAATTTAATATTGCCCCTTTGCAATTCCATATAAAACTCCAGTCTTCTTCCTCTCCTTCCCACCCCAAACACTTGTTCTGAAATCTATTCTGTTCTTCCAATACGTCTGCACTCTCTCCACTAAAAACCAACCTAGTCTTTCTCTTTCTTCCAGTTCTGCAGTCTCACATTCCTCAAGCAGCACAGAAAACACTAGATCCTAACCTCCGTCTTTCCTAAGGTGAGGCTGCCAAGCTGGAAGAGAGAGACCAGACTAGCCGTGGGGAAAGCTGCTATTACTTATACATTAATACCTTAAAATGTCACCAGCTCTATCATATCTGTATCTGCTAATATTTTAATGAGCATGTGTAACTTTAATTGTGTAAAATTTTAATTTTCTTTCAATTTTATGTTGTGTTAATTTTAGGTGTACAGCTTAGTGGATAGACAATCATACACTTCACAGAGTGATCCCCCTGATATTTCCAGTACCCACTTGGCACCATATATAGTTATTGCAACACTGTTGATTATATTCCTTATGCTTTCCTTTATATCCCTGGGACTGTTTTGTAATTACCAATTTGTACTTTATCCCATCACCTCTTTCACCCAGTCCCCCCCACCCCCCTCCCCGCTGGCAGACACCAGTCCACTCTCTGTGTCTATGAGTCTGTTTCAATTTTGTTTGTTTATTTAGTTCTTTAGATTCCACATATAAGTGAAATTATATGGTATTTATCTTTCTCTGACTGACTTATTTCACTAGGTATAATACCCTCTAGATAAATCCATGCTGCTGCAAATGGTAAGATTTCCTTCTTTGTATGGCTGAGTAATAGTCCATTGTGTATACATACCACAGCTTTTTTATCCATTTGTCTACTGATGGACACTTGGGCTGCTTCCAGATCTTGGCTACTATAAATAATGGTGCAATGAACACAGGATGCATATACTCTTTCCAATTAGTGTTTTGGGTTTCTTTGAATAAATCCTCAGCAGTAGAATCATTGGATCATAAGGAAGTTTCCATTTTAATTTGAGAAAACTCCATACTGTTTTTCACAGTGGCTGCACCAATCTGCCTTCCCACCAACAGTGCACAACGGTTCTTTTTCTCCATATCCTCACCAGTGCTTGTTGTTTGTTGATTTATTGATGATAGACATTCTGACAGCTGTGAGGTGACACCTCACTGTGGTTTTTATTTGTATTTCTCTGATGATTAGTGACATGAGCATCTTTTCATGTCTATTGACCATCTTTATGTCTTCTTTGGAAAAGTATCCTCTGCCCATTTTTAATTGTGTAGGTTGGTTTTGTTTTGGGAGGACTTTTTTTGGTGTTAAGTGGTATAAGTTTTATTTTGAATGTTAACCCCTTATCAGATGTGAACATGTGTAACTTTGTAATCAGGGAAAAATACATGTTTCTATTTTTTTCTATGAAACATAGAGAATCTTCAAAATGTACCTTACCTTCTGGTCAAGATGGCAGCATAGGTAAACATGACTCACCTCCTCACACAATCACATCAAAATTACAACGAAAATATAGAATGACCATTACTAAGAACCATCAGAAATCAAGTTGAATGGAAGTCTGACAACTACATAATTAAAGAAGCCACATCTCTCCAGACTGGTAGCAGGGGCAGAGACACAGAACAGGCTGGTCCCACATACACATGTGGTGGATAAAAATTTGTGAAGGATGTCTCGGGAGCGAAAAGTCCCACACTAGGTCCCCCAGCCCAGGGTTCCAGTGCCTGGAAGATAAGCCCCCATAACTTCTGGCTGTAAAAACCAGTGTAGATGGAGTTAGTGGAAGAAACTTCTGCAATCCCAAGCAGCTCCTCTTAAAGAACCCACACATGAACTTACTCAGACTCACACCCTCTGAGCTCCAGCACTGGGTACCTGCTTGAAAGGTACCAGTGGCACACAAGGAGGAACTGAAGTATATGGCATCAAGGTGAGAGCTAGGGGACAGCTTTTTTCCAGACAGAAAGGCAGACAAGAGGCCATTGTCTCTTTTCCAAACCCTCCACAGGGCCACAGGGCCAGAGCTGCAGGGCCAGCAGGCAGATGCCATTTCTGAGGCTCCATCAAGTTGGCTACACTGTTTGACCCACCCTGGTGGTCCCCTGATACTCCATCCCACCAATATGGCCTCCACCAAGCTTTTAACCATGACTTTTCCATATGGATGGCTGGTCTTGGTTCATGTTTCACAACTTTCTAAATCCTCTCAAACAAGCAAAAGCCAGCATCACCAAGGGCCCAGCCCCTGTGCCTCTTGCTAAGGGGCCCCAGGCCTGGCAATAGCAGCAGCCAGCCTAGATTTACAACTTGGCTTTGCCTGGGAATCTCCAAGCCCAGCACAAGTAACAGCCGTGTCAGATTGCTTTATAGCTCAGGAGGTATGGCCCCAGGTAAAACACAGGTGGGGGCTTTCATTGGCCTGCACCACCAAGGAAAACCCAGAGCCTGAGCACCAGGTTGACAGCTACAGACCACACTGGAGCACCACCATGCTGCACCCCACACAGTTGATCTTTCACAGAGGGTGGAGGTGGTCAGTGGTCACAGCCAGTCTTTGAAGCTGACTGACCTGGTTAATCACTCCCATTGACCTGCCAAGTCTCAACTACAAGAGGAGGGTGTACTCAGACCACATGAAGGGTGCACAGTGAGTACCCCGCTTGGGTGATAAGGGAGGCTGTGCCACTGAACCCTGTAGGGCACCCACTGCATTGGGCCATACTACCAAGACACAGAGTCAAACAAGCTGTACCTAATACATAGAAATAAACATAGGGAGGCTGCCAAAGTGAGGAGACAAATAAACATGGCACAAATGAAAGAACAGATCAAAACACCAGGAAAAGAACTAAATGAAATGGAGAGAAGCAATGTATCAGATGCAGAGTTCAAAACAGTGGTTATAAGGTTGCTTGAAGAATTTAGTGAGGACCTCAACAGTACAAAAAAAGATACAACTAGAAATGAAGGATACACTAATTGAAATAAAGAACAATTTACAGGTAAATGGCAGTAGAGTGGATGAAGCCAAGAATTAAATCAATGACTTGGAACATAAGGAGGCAAATAACAACCATTCAGAACAACAAAAAAAAAATCCAAAAAGCAAGGATAGTGTAAGCAGACTCTGGGATAATTTCATGCAACCCAATATTTGCATCATAGGGGTACCAGATGAATAAGAGAAAAAGCAAAAAATTGGAAATTAACTTGAAAAAATAATGAAAGAAAACTTCCTTAATTTGGTGAAGGAAGTAGACATGCAAGTCCAGGAAGTGCAGGGAGTTCCAAGCAAGATCTATGCAAAGAGGCCCACTCAAAGACACATCATAATTAAAGGTTAAAGATAAAGAATTTTGAAAGCAGCTAGTTACCTACAGAAAAATTCCCAAAAGACTGTCAGCTGATTTCTCAAAAGAAACTTTCCAGGTTACAGGGAATGGCAAGAAATATTCAAAGTCATGAAAAGCAGGGACCTACAGCCAAGATTGATCTACCCAGCAAAGCTATCATTTAGAATCGAAGGGCAGATAAAGAGCTTCCCAGACAAGAAAAAACTAAAGGACTTCATCATTACCAAACCATTATCATATGAAATGTTAAAGGCACTTGTTTAATACAAAGAAGACGATCAAAACCATGAACAATAAAATGGCAATAAATACAAATCTGTTGACAACTGAATCTAAAAAACAAACTAAGCTAACAGGAGGAACAGAGACAGAATCATGGATACGGACAGCATTTTGATGGTTGCCAGATGG